TGCCGCAACCTTTCAGTAGAGGATTAGCAGCGTTTTCGCTGCGTTACCTGTGATTTTCAAATGGTTTAAATCAGCTTTTCCCCCTGGATCAACCATTCACGTACATATTAATCATTGTCATCTTTTGCTTAATTTTCAGTATGTTTCTATTAAGAAAATGCTCGAAGAGTCACATCATATAAGACAAATTCTGTCTAATTTAAATCAGTATATAAGTCTCTATTACTTTCCATAAGAATTCTCTTTCTAAAACAAAAAAAACTTTTCTTCGAAAAGCCGCCCTAAGCGCGGGTAGTGAGACTCAGAAAATAGGATTCTATATTAAGAGACCTAAAGGGGAGTACGACAATTTTACGAAGTCTTTTTATTTTGGAAGGATATTTTTACGGATGGTAGTAGAGAATTATATGCTGATTTATATTAAATAGAGTTTATCTTATATGATGTGACTCTTCGAGCATTCTCTCAATAGAAACATACTGAAAGTTAAGCAAAATATGTCAATGATTAACAGAGTGTGGGTGAGGGTGTAATTCGTTTTCTCAACCACACTCACACTCACACCTACCCATATCCACAGCCAATTCGAGTAAAAATTTTTAGTCAATATATGCTCTAAAATTCAATTTTTCGATGTACAATGGCATTTTGGTTGAAATAACTTTTTAATCGCTTTTCTGCATAAATATTACAAAATTGGAGAGAAAAACAAATAAAAAATGTAGAAAAAAAAATCAATAAAAACCATGACTTTTTGTGCTTTTTTTGAACTAGTCAAAAAAGACGCACAAAAAATTGATTAAAAATTACTATTTTTGTTCAAAATATGCCGAAACTCGCTATTTCTTTCTGCTTGTGTAGTCACACATTAAAAGATGAAGCTTTTGAAAAAAAAGTCTGAGCAAACCAATATTAAAAGAAATATCGTCAGAATACTCAGAGGCTTATTATTTCTGGGACATCCGTAAGAATAAGTGAGGAACCTAGCTTAGAATGTGGATAAAATCAAATGTCCCATAGATTTTGTCATATTTTTTAATTCATTGAAATATTCTTGTGTATCACGCGACTGATACTCCGAGTGGATAGCCATCGCCAAAGTAGAGATATTGCGAGTAGTTATACATAGGAGCTGAGAGATAGAACAGGTAACTAACTAAGCCTGAAGTGCAACTCGCTTTGCATACTTTCGAATCATCACCTTCATCGCTAAAAAAAACAAGTCATTATCAGTCCTAGCACACCAACAAGAAGAGCATAGGGAAGAGATATCCAGATATAAACCACACACATTGGCAGTGTATTAGTAATAAGGAAAGGAATTGATACTGAAACAATCGTAATAAGCATTGGAAGAACTAGTGATGTAAGATAAATAGAATAATTTGATTCTATCATTACATGTGTCATTAACTTGTTCATGATGATAATAAAGAAGTTCCAACACTGAGGAATAATATAGTTCGAGAGTTTATAGCCGAAGATTTTGTAACATGTCCACGCTGTAGCGTCTGGATAAGATATACATTTCGACTGCTGTACACAGTATCAAATGAAGTGAGCAAATTGTGGTAAGAGTACAAGGGAGTCAAAGATGTCGATAAGCATCCGGTCATGAAGACTTCACAAAGCGTTAGTTTCAAATCCTGATAGATATGTGCCGTATCGAACACGATTCCATATCCATTGACACGCTTGAATAATTACAATTTGTAAGATGAATAGCCAGTAAGGCTGAAGAAGTATTTCGCTTTTAGGAAACTAGTAAAGAAGAGGGTTGCCATATTCGACTGATGTGCTGTTAGTTGACATAGGTTTTTGTCTCTATAGCTTCATTCAATTTAAGTATTGCCTGTATGAAGAAAAAAAAACATAAAGGAATAGCCAACTGTTTTATAATTTACTTACGATTCTCGTTCTGTTGTTCTTTTTGTTTTGACTTTAAAAAGCACTTACGTCCATTGCACCTCTTCTGCAAGTAAAAAATGATGTTGTTGTACAAGACAACAGAGCAGCAAGGATTAGAGAGAGAGAGAGAAAGCAACTGTTGTTCTGTCATGAATAAAATAAATTTTTTTCTGCACACTTGATTTAGTAAGGGTGTGGGTGTTGCCTTCGTTCGTACCCACACCCACACTGACACCCATCTTATCATCTACTTCCGTGTTTTGGCGCTACCCTTAGCAAATTTTGAGAAAATCATCCAATACAGAGATACATCGTTGAGCTCATACGATGTTTTGTCAAGGAAGAAAGTAACAGAAAAGTCAATGTTGTTGTTGTACAAAAAAGAATACACAGGTTGATGTCCAAAAGAACATTTATTTATGAGAAGAACATAAGAAATTGATGGAATCAAAACTGCCTAGCTTGTTTCTCTCGAAAAATTTGTTTTTTTGTTTTCTGTTTAAATGCACGCTTATTTTTTAAAATAAAAACATTGAATTTTCTGTCATTTGTCTGCTTTTGCCTGCTTGCCTGGTTTTTTTCGTTTTACCAACTAAGCGCATGGCACATCTTTCTGCAAAATAAATGGAACTTCTTAATTTTCTTGATTATAATGAGAAAAATATCCAAAGTCTTAGATATAGGAATTCTTTCATAATCTTCTCATCCCATAGCCCCATAATTGATAAAATAAAAAAAAAACATAATGTTCACGACATTTTGTGCTGTCATATTAATAGGCATCAAGGAATCGATGAACATTAATATATAGGTATGAAAATTATTGCAGAGAAGCATTATTTTGTATGTGAAAGAGTAATTCTTGTTAGCTCAATTGCAAAAACATTTTTGGTTTTTGAGATAGTAGGCTTATTTTATTTGATATTTGTAGATTTAGATAAAAAATGGCAACTTCCAGTCAGGATTCATCAAGTCATCGAAAGGTAGCGCTGATTATTGGCAATGATAATTACAGTCATCCAATAAATAGACTAAGTCGATCTATCAACAATGCCAATGGTCTAATTGATTTACTTAAAACGATCAATTTCAAGATCAAAATAGGTGTTAACTTAAACAAACATCAGATGGACTCGAATGTCATTGATTTTTCTAAAATGATCAGTGACAATGATTTGATTCTGTTCTACTTTTCTGGTCATGGATACCAGATGAATGGCAAAAATTATTTGATACCTGTTGATGATAGCAAAATAAAAACTAATAGAGATGTTGAAGATTTTGCTATTAGTGTAGAATCTATACTCACACAACTAATAAAAAGAAATCCATCATACTTGACTATACTGATTTTGGATTGTTGGAGACCATACTTGCTGAGAAATACATCTGACTCCTATTGTAAGTAATAGTGTTAATGGCTCCGTTGAATAAATATATGCGTTTCTTTAGCCACTACGATTGAAGGTATTGGTTTGCATGAAATTAAGGCACCTCGAGGAACATTTATTCAGTTTGCCTGTGCTGCTAATCAAACAGTCAGTAATAACTTGTTCACCAAGCAGTTGCTTAGATTTATCACTGTAAAAAATGTGGATGTCAGAGAGATTTTTCGACGGATATCAAACCAAGTGTATCTGGAAAGTCACAAACAACAGCAACCATTGTCTATGGGTGAATTATCAGAATTTGAGCATGTCTATCTCAATCAAGTAGTCGTACCTCTTGAGAGTAAGTTAGGCAACAGCCAAATCAAGTATTCACAATCGGTTTCCCATCATTCTACCGAGAACAAGAAGAAAACAGGAGGGTGTTTAATTTTTTAACAAATTTAAATCAAGTAAATTGAACAAACAAAAAAAAAGGGTGTGGGTGTGGGTGTGGGTGAGGGTGTGGGTGTGGGTGTGGGTGAGGGTGTGGGTGTGGGTGTGGGTGTGGGTGTGGGTGGGTGTGGATGTGGGTGTGAGGTGTGGGGTGTGGGTGTGGGTGTGAGTGCCAATGTGAGTTTGAAACTCTTCATTTCCCACTCACACCCACACTCACACCCCACACCTCACACCCTAATCTATTTGGAAATATTTCACAAATTCGACTTGCTAAATTTTCTATACCACAAATGCGTACTCTTTATCATGTAACTGAAATTTCACGTCCGAATCCAAATATTCTTGATATTGTACAAGAATTATATAAAAAATGTCAACGAAATGATCAAATTCTTTGTTTTGTTAATTCAGCTTTAGAAGCTACAGAAAATTGTAAATTATTCTCAGATATAAGAGGAGGAACAATTAATGCTTGTCCATTAATACAATCACAATCGGCAAAAATTCAAGAAGACAATATTGAACAAGCAAGTGTGCTTTTTTCAACAACAATTGCTGAAACATCATTAACATTTCCATCATTAAAATATGTTATTGATACTGGTTATATTAATATAGTTACCTATTTATAATTATGAACTTAAACGAACTATTTTAACAACAGTTCGAGCAGCTCATTCAACTATTAAACAACGTTTAGGTCGAGTAGAAAGAACACAAACGGGAGAATATTATGCTTTGTATAATTTTAAACCTGAAGATCAACCTTATCCAAAACCACATATATGTCTATAAAATTTAACAAATATTGAATTTTCATTAAGACGATCACCATTAAAATGTGGACTCAATGTTATGCAAAGATTCTTACCTGATAAACCATCGCAACAATCTATTAATTATACTATTGATGCTCTACGAACATTAGGTAAGTTGACGGATTGTCACAACTCACATTAATGATTCTAGCATTCGAATTTATGAATTTCCGACATGTTCCTGCTGTCAAATTTCTGCCACTTTCATGAGTTTTTGGGTCAGAAATGGTCTGTATTTCGTGATCTGGATAGTAGCAACAGACTTTCTAAAATCGTTCAATTCACACTGGTTTTCTTCAATTTTCTACATAAAGTTTCTTTTTAATCTTGTTATGATTTCCTAAAGAATACAATTTCGAAACTTATTTCGGACACATCATTTGATACCATTTAGGAGGAGATTCTAGATACAATGATAACGGTGACATTGCTCTAACATCATTGATTTTTCATTTATTTGAATAGATCCTTCAAGCACTTATAATTTAACTCTAAATTTATTTTTAGCTATTTTGGAAGCAGCTCCAAGTGATGAGTTTACAAACTTAGGAAAAGCTCTTTCTAAAATTCCCGATTTTGGCTCAATACAAATGTCAATATCTGTATTAGCTGCTCTTCGACATTTCAATTGTGGACATGATCTTATTTGTCTTTCATCTATGTTGGGTATTTTAAATTCAGCAGCAATATTTTCATTAATACCATCAAGGTTCAAAAGTCCTGATGGTGATTTTATGACACTTTTGAATATTATGAATAAAGTTTTATTAGTTAAACAATCAATTCCATCACATCAATTTAACATTGATCGTATTTGTGAAGCTGCTGATTTAACTAAGATAAGACATATAATTAGTCCAGCATTGAGACGTTATATAAGTTTGGAAAAATCATTTAATTTATCATCTAATTATCGTGCAGAAGCACATACAAAATCAGGAGAATGGGAATATATTGCAAAAGCATTATTAACTGGTTATAGAGATAATATATTTGTATCAATGAGAGAATTACAAGAAAAAAATCTTCTCTTTGCTAGATATAAAGATCTGAATGATATTGCTGTATTAGATCTGAAATCGACTCTTACACGACCTATAAAACAAGAACCTGTACCTCTTATAATTGTACGAGATGCTTTATATTCAACAGCCGTTCGTTCTCGAGCTATTATTTCATTTGCTGGTGAAATGAAACTTGAGTGGATGGAACATTCTCTTCAACGTGAACTTATCTTAAGTAATGAAGAAGAACTTCATCTTAATAGTGAAAATCGATATACAAAAGCTCGTTCACTCTACTCCGATAATATTCATATGCAATTAAAGAATAAAACTCTTTCATTACGTGGTCGATCTGGTACTGTTCTCAATGCTGAACTACATTTACGAAAAGAAATGATTACAGAAATGAAATTTGAACTAAAAAATCGACATCCACCAAATACAACATTACATGAAAATTTATCAAGAAATCTTGAACAAGTATGTAAAATGCCATATATATTTCATCCAATGATATGGCGATGGGACGCAGAAAAACAAGTGAAGATAAAAGTTAACAATGTTGTATCATCGAATACATGTGCAATAACAGTTACAGGAAGATATTCGGAAATTGTTAAAGTTAAAAATGAATTTGATTCATTTTTGTCATGGTTAGAAAACTGTACTGTTATTAGAAATCCTGATGCTGGTAAGGGAAGATACTAATCATGTGTGATCGGAATGTGAAACATGATGTATCTATTGTTGATAATCGCAGAGGATTACCTTCTTCTATGTATTTAGGAATATATTTCTTCATTTATTCTCCTAGGAGACAAGAAGAAAGTACTATTTATTTCAAAATATGATATGCTCCACTGTTTTTTCTGAATAAATTTTGATAGAAACATCATAAAGATCTGTATTTTTCATTATTTACGATAGTAGATCCAAGATCATTGAAGTATGTGGAAATTTTCAAAAACGATATTCTGCAGCTATTTATCTTTGACTAATGGATAGAGAAAATTCTTCTTTTTTGATTTAAGCAAGCGTGACATGCCTAACTCCTTCTGTTCGTGCGTTATCGTACTTTTGGTGATACTTTCGGAACTATTGAGATAGCAATGTTAGATCAGTTCGGTTCTCAAAACAAATATCACGGTTAGAGTAAATTGCCCTTATCTATTTGATTTTCTAGTTGATCAGAGATTGATTGGCTGAAATCAGGAATCTTAGGAAACAAGCTAGAAATGTCAGCCATGTCTAGATCGAAAAAGGAAAGTTTTGTCTATCGATTAGTCCTTTTAAAAGTCTAAATCAACAGAAGAATAGATTCAGAATATCATTTTTGAAGATTTTGTTAAATGATGAAAAATGCAAATTTCTATGATATTCCGATCAAAAATTATTCAAAAAACAAAGTAGAGCACATTCTATTTTGAAATTTATAATGGTTCATGTATTAAAACGAAATGTAATTGATATGCGCTCTTTGTTCAATTATTAACAGTATTTGTCACAGTTTATAATGGTATCTGCCTAATTTCATAAGAGAGGTCTTCTGCTCCTATTTAACGAGGAATAATTTTTGAATATACGGACAGTGATTAACAATTGTTTTTTGCTTTTCTAGGTGTACCACCACGAGTCCTTCGTCCACAAATACGATCACAATGTTTAGACATTGAAGAAAGAATAAGTCGTATAACCGATAGTAAACGAACTCGTATTGATTTATACAATGCGACGAAAGGTATTCATGCAACACGTGAAACACGTATGGAAGTTGTTTCATGGATAGCAGTTTGCAAATTCGATTGTAAAATAGAAGGTGGTTTTGTTCGTGATTGGGTTGTTGGTAAATATACAAAACATTCAACTATCCTTTAACAAATCCAACTGCATGGGTACAATATCAAGGAGTCGATCAAATTCCATACATGGTTAAAGAAGTTGTTCCAAGTGATTTGGATTGTCATTTACCAAAATGATCATATTTTGATATTGAAAAATTTAAAGATGAACTGCATAAATATGGAATAAAATGTGATGTATATCGACAAGCATGGAGATATGTTCTATTAATTGATAAAGATGAAAAAACTGGTCCATATACAATGGATCTTATTGAACCACATGTTGCATTAACACATGATCGTATTGATTTTGATGTTAGCAATTTATATTTAGAAAAAGATTATAC